AAATTTATTTATAATAATAAAAATAAAATTTAAAATATTTTTTTATAAATTGATTTATAATAATAAAAATAAAATTTAAAATATTATTTTTTATTAAAAAAAGTAGACTTATAATAAAATCTATAAATAATTTAATAAAAAATCAGCTAAAAATTAATTACAATTTAAAAAATATTATATAATTTATATTTAATTAATATAATTTTTTAATATATAGAATATTTTTGAAGATAAATAATTCTATTTTTATAAAGATTTATCTAAAAAAACTTTTTTCTAAAAAAATTTATTATTTTTAATTATCTGAAATAATCTACTAGCTGATTATTATAATAAAGATCTAATAAATATTATTAGAAATTTCTTTATAAAAATATACAAGCAGTATTTATATATAATAAAATTATTTTTATTAATTTTTTAATATTTAAGTCTAAGATTATTTTTTAAAAATAATAAGTTTTTAATAATATATTTTTATATCTTTATTTCAAATTCTTTTAATTAAAGAATATAATTTCTTCTTAATTTTAAATTAAAATAAGTTCTAATTTTGTATATTTAGAATATTATTAATATATTAATATATTTATTATAAAAGGGACTTATTTTAAGAATTTTAAAATATAATAAATTCTTATATTTATATACTTAAAATATTATAAATATATCAATATATAAATTATAAAGTATTTATAATTTAATAATTTAATTAGTTATTTTTATATTAGTTTTTTTATTTTTGAATTTTATTAAAAGCTTAATATTATATAAATATTAAGTTTAAAATTTTTTTATAAAAATATTTTATTATATTTAAATTAAGATTTTATAAAAATTAACAAAAGTTTTATTAGAAATTTTCTAACTGATTGATATTATATTAGTTTTAGAATTTTTATATATTAATTTTAGAATTTTTATATTAAATAGAATTTTAAAATTTTTTTCTTATCTTTAATAATAAATTAGTTAAATTATATTTATTAAATTAATATTAAATAAAAAAATTATAAGTATTATAATATATATATTATTAAATTTAATAACTATTTAGCTTCAGCTATTTTATAAAAATCTAAAAATTTTTATAATCTAAAAATTTTTAATAATATACATTAATTTTTTAAAATATTAATACTAATATTTAAATAAATATATAATAATAAAAAACTTTTAATCTAGACTTAAAAAATCTTAATATTATTATTAAAATTTTTTTATTAAAATATATTAAAATATTAATAAAAATTATAAAATTTTCAAAATATTTAGATTTTATAATATATAATTAATATTAATTATATAAATATTAAATATTTATTAGAAATCTATTAATAAATTTATAAAAATACAATATATTTTAAAAATATAATATAATTTTAATAAAAAATTTTTTTAATAATTTAATATAAAGATTTATTTTTTAGAAATATTCTAATACTAAATATAAATAAAAAATATGAAAAATAGGTTTTAAAAAAATAAAAACATTATTTAAATAAATAATATGAAAAATATCTAACATATTATAAAAAAATAAATAAATATAATTTTAGAATATAACTAAAGTACTAATTAATTAAAATAATATAATTAAATATTTTAAAATATTTATAATAGATTTAAAAAACTATTTTTTATTTATTTTTTTATTTAATGTAAATTTAATAATATATATTTTAAATTTTTAATTTTTAAAAATATTTAGCTTTTATAATTCTATTTAAAAATTTTAACATTAAAAATAAAAAATAATAATTTTTAATTAAAATTTTATTAAGTTTTTTATAATCTATATATAATTAAAAATTTTTATCTTTTTAATATAAAAAAATAAAAGCTTTTATAAACCTTTTAAAAAACTAAATTTATTTTAATTAAATATTTTTATTAATATAAAAATACAAAAACTAAAACTTAATTTAAAATAAAAAATAAATAAATTTATATAATAAAATTTTATTATTTTCTATATTAATAGTATAGTCTAAGAATTTATAAAAATAATTATTATAAATAATTAAAAAATATATCTATAGAATTATAAATTTTAAAAAAAAATATAATCTTATTAAATCTAATTTATAAATAGTTTAAAAGGATTTTATTTTCTTATAATAAGATATTTTCTAAAAGTTCAATTATAATATAAATATAAATAAGATTTTAGTAGATTTTTATAAATTTATAAAAAAATAAATTTTTAATAAATAAATCTTATATATTACTATTGATTCTATATAAATAAATAAATATATAGATTTTTTAAAATAATTATTAAAAATAAAATAGAATTTTTAAAAAATCTAAATTATAATTAATAATTATATTATATATCATAAATGATTATATAGTTTTTTTAAGTTAATAAAAATAATAAAAAATTTTTTATATATTATTAATATTTATAATAAAATAATTGATTATAATAATTAATAAAATTATAATATAAGCTATATTTAAATAGAATTATTAAATAAATTACTAGCTAATAAAATTAATTTTAATATATAAATCTAAGTTTATATAAATTTTAAAAATATTTTTAAAATAAATAAATATATTAAAATAAATAATAGTTTTTATTTTAGAGTAGTTTATTAAAAATATAAAAAATTTTTAATCATTATTTTTTTATTAATTTCTATTTATATTTATTTTAATTTTTTTAAGAATATTAATTAATTAAATAATATTTATTAGTATATTTATAGCAGTCAAAAGTTTTTTTTTAACTTTTTTATTTTAAAATATTTTTAAAAAAAAGTTATTATTTAATTATAAAATTCTAATTTCTTAAAAACTTTATTTTAATAATTTTTAAATCGTTTTTTCTAAATTTAATATATTCTAATAATAAATAATAATAAATATTATATTTTTTACAAGTCTAATAATTTTAATATATATTTATAAATATATTAACTAAATTTTAATATTAGCTTTAAAAAATTAATATATATTTATTATAATATTTAGATTTAAAATATTACTCTAAAATATTTAAATAAAAATAAAAATTTTTTAGATTTTAATTCTTTTATTAATAGGTTTATTTAAGCTGTTTGATTATATTAAAGTATAAAATAACTATATTTTAAAAAAAATCTATAATCTGTTAATATTTTAGAGGTTTTTAAGAATTTTTTATTAATATATTAATACTAATTTTATCAATATGTTAATACTAATTTTATTAAAATATTAATACTAATTTTATTAATATACAAAATCTAAAGAGTTAATTATAACTAAAAATTTTTAATTTTTTATATAATGCTTTTAAAAAGTTTTTCAAAAATTTCTATAAATTATAAATCTACTTTATGTTTTATTATAAATTTAATTAAAAAAAGAAAATAAGAATTTTCTCAAATTTAATTTTTTTATATTTAAAAAATAGAATTTAAACTAGTTTAATATTATTATAATTTTAATAAAAATTTAATATTTTATATATAGTTTATAATATTTAAATTTATTTTTTAATTATTATAATTATTTTAATTAATAAATAGTGACTTATACTTTTTAAGAATCTATTTAAATTAAATAATTTTATTTAAAAGTAAATAAAGTATCTTAAAATAATTTTAATAAAAATTCATTAAATAATATATTATTTTTTTAGATAACTAAAAATAAAAAGAACTAGAAATTACTAGAAATTATTTAATATAGTAAATATACTGGTTACATAAAATAAGTAAAATAATTAAAAATAATTTTTTATTAATTTTAAAACTAATTTTTATTGAATCTTTCTTTTAAAGAATTTTAAAATAATATAAATATATTAAAAAGAAGTAAAGAATATAATAATATAAATATTCAGATTAAAAATCTAATAAATTTATATTAATTCTAGATCAGGCTGCTATAGTAATAGATATAGACTATTATAATAGTAGGTATTGTATAATATATAAGTAAGCCTGCTACTAGTTTTATATATAAGCCTGCTACCAGTTCTGCATGCAAGTCTGCTACTGGTTCTATAAGATAGCCCAGTCTATCTTTTTGCAATCCGAGCAAAGCAAGGATCACCAAGGCTTATTTATATATAATAATATTTATTTTTTTATCTATTTTTTGGTTTTTTGGTTTTAAACATACTTTAGAATATATTACTATTTTATATATCTACTTTCTTTAACAGCTTATTTTTAATTTTAATATCTTTTATATTCTAGTGTCTTTATATATATAATATCTAGTTATTTATAATATTAAATTATTTGTTTTAAAGCCCGGCCTATATTATTGTTTATTCAAATATAATAATATTCTGCTATTTATTTATATAGCTGTCTTTTATACCGCCCGAATAGTAGAACTTTAGAATAATTTTATCTTTTTATCTTTTATAATTCCTAATAATCTTTATATTATACAGAATAATCAATTATATCAAGTTCTTCAGCCATAATAAAAACTATTATTATATATATTTAAAATATTTTTTCGGCAGTTTGTATATAAATAAAAATTATAATTATTATAATAAATATATAATAGGCATATAAATAATATATTATGATATTTTTGGTACTTATAATATTTTGTATAAAAAATTATATTATTATTATGTCTTGTAAAATATCAAACTGCTATAACTATATTAAGCCTGTAACTATTGCACAACCATTGCAAGCAACCCCCCTTTTCCGGCAAGGTTAGGGCATTTGCCCTTCGAACTTGGAAGGCTTTCTCCTTGCTACCTTTGGTTGGCCGTCATATAGTCACGTGTGAGCGACAGAATTGAATGGCAGTGTCCAGCTAGCCAACGCCATCCAGAAAACCTCAACCGATCCATAGCAACTATCAGCTCATCTAGTAACTAGTAGTCAATCATGGATGCTGTAGTTACGTGCCCGCAGTACCCATACCACCATGTCGATCTACTCCAGCTCTGTCGAGTAGAACACGAGATGACGTCACAATAGAAATATGGCCGCTCAGTTACCTACCTACTTGAGTAGCTACGGAGGGTACTAGTTTTATCCACTATGCCCAAGGTGGTGCTAACCTATCATCTCTGACCAGGTTCCATCCCTCTCAAAAGTGTCTTTTGCTCATGACGACGTCACTGCTCACCTCGTCACTGGTCTCTTACCAGAATGACGGCAACGGCATGTGACCCCTTCGGATCTGGGGAGCTTCATAAAGCGACGTTATCCCCTTGATTCTATCATTGTCAAAACCAATTACCATCAGCATCAAAGACTACAGATACTCGTTCTCTGAAGACGATCCCGAAGCGTACCATAGCCAGCGAAATGACGACCCTCAATTGTGAGTGTTTTCCTTGAGGTTACACCCATCCCACTCCACCCTGGCAACTTCACAAAGACTTATTGCTCGAGCCTTATTTTAACCTAGAACCATTAGACTTGCCATCCGTGAAGCCGTCCGCAATCGCAGTCGGCGCGATCTTCACGCACACTGCCTCACTAGGCATTCTCGCCCCAGTCTTTGGCGATACTTACCATCGTGCCCAAGCTGCCAATTCAAAGGAAGAGTTCTTCAAGTCTAAGGAGGCTGCTGGTGCTGCAGCAGCCTGGGGTAGCTCTCTGGTTGGCAGTGCTGTACAGACCTACGGCGTGGCGGCATTGATCAATGCAACGGGGACTCTTAGTTATAAGGGTGCAGCCTATCTGGGAAGTTTGATCTTTATGGCCAGTGCAGCTCCAAGTGTAAGTCTATTGATGATATCGCATGCTACGACTTTGGTCTAATTGATTGTGATCGTTCCAGGTCATCAGCCAGATCTTCACAGAGAAACGCCCCCTCGACACAGTGGCAGTGGGCGCTGTCGGCAGGGTCTTTGAGACAGTAGGACTCAGTCTATTCCTTACCTGGTGGGGCACGCGTACCAACCCTTTCGCGTGAGGAATAAATGGGGATGAAACTCAGTACCACATTTGATTCTTGTGTCTTTACGTTATGTGCAGTTGAATAAGATACGATATTGTTCTAGCTTCAAGAATAATCAAATTTCCGTAATCATCAAATTGGCTTGGCGAAACCGACTTTTCTGGAACTTGTAATCGTTAGTAAATTGTGTTTGAAGCGTTAGAAAAGCCCAGGGTAATATTTGATGACCTGTGCAAACAAGGCAACGATATTATTATGTTACCCTAGTTCCGAGTCGTGACCTGATTTTAACCGAGGACCTCGACCGATTCGAACGGCATTGGGGGCAATTATCTGAACCTGAAGCTACAGTTGGGAGAGCCACTTGCTCCGTGCAGCAAGTAGCTAATGGTTCGAAGTTCAGCTACCTGTGGCCCTCGAGCGCGCTTTCTCATTTACCCTTCAAGTAACGCAAACAATGAAATATCCAACACGCGACCTTGCTCACATCACAGGGTTACATACGTTACAACTGTTGGGTTGAAGTTGTACGAGGAAGCCCGAAGGCGTAAATGGAGACAGATGCTGATAAATAGTGATTGCATGTCTACTTCTATATAATCAAACAAAAGTGCGACAGGGATACCTTGCAGAGTGTCAGTGATTATTATTAATATAGAGTGAGATAGAACTTACACTCCAGGATAGCCATGCTGATGATCCAGCTGATATTTGGAAGCCGAAGAATTCAAGCTGCAAGGCAAGGGTGGCAAACCATTTGCATTCAAGACACCTCTAGCCCCCTCCTTATCTTTCTCGAAAAGCCCGGCAAGGCCGCGCTCCTCTCCCTGTTGCTTGACCGATACCAGCTGTCTTTCACCTGCTTCACCAAGCTCCAAAACTTCCTTTGGTGCTGCCTCACTGCCTACGGTAAGAAGACCAACAACGTCGGCCTGATTCACCGTACTGAGTCTAGGATAGTTTCTCCGAGCATCGCGCTTCCAGTAAGGGTTATCGGCGATGTCACCCGCTGGAACTGTGATAGGGTCGTCATAGGACAGAGGTGGAAGAGATCCTGGAGCCGGCAGGCGGAATTGGGAGTTCAATGGAACGCCAGTAGAGCGACTAGGATCAATGGACAGAAGGCGACGGATACGCTCCCATACGCCAGTCGACTGAACAGTGTATTTCTGAGTAACGCATTAGTGTATACAGAAGTGTATAGTTATTCTTTGACGACTAACCTTGTGAACAGCTATCACATTTGATGCCGACTTGGCCGCTTTAACTATGTCGCGAGCCATGGTGGTTTCTATTGATTATGAGTATGTGAAACTTCGATTAAGAAAAGCCTTCACTGCAATATGCCGAGACACAGCGCAGCACATGGTCTTTCATACCTCACCTTTTGAGATCTATATTTCCGCAAAGAGTCGTCCCTCTGGAATCGCTGGCTCGCTGTCAGTAGCAATCGAACTGTCCGGCGGAGGCCTTCCCGGGAGGTCAGTCGTGCGGAACAACAGTATTTCCGAGAGCAATGGATGAATAGCATTGATCTAATTGTAAGCATATGCATCCCGAACAAACTGAAGCTCATTTCTTGGAACAACACTCGAGGAGTCGAGGCGTCCTTGGTTCACAACCTTCGGGATCATTATGACTTCCATTTCTGTGATTACACATCTATTCTTCCGTCCAAGCATGATCAAAGCTTCTTTATGCAGTAATTTCAACCTCCCAACTCTGGTCAGTAGCCGGTGAGGAATGGGGTACCAATAGGCTTGTCTAGCGACAATAGTACATTTATGTCTACCAAGGGATATCGCGTGAATACTCCACATCAATCGCCGGCCAATCATCACTTGTTGGAATTGTGTAATACATCCATGTCTATCTCCTTCCATTGTGGCAGATCTGCGAGAGAATATGCAGCTCTAGGGACTTTCCCGTTTCTCCTCCTTCGAGGCAATAACGACTTGTCGCGCAGCCTCGACTGTTGCATCGGGACCACCCCTTTGATGTAGGAGAACTTCACCCAGCTTGCTTACAGCGAAGACCCCCCTTGTTGTTCCTTTTGGCATTTTCTTGAATCCAAGAGCAGCTATAAGTGTATAGGAGGCATTGCACAGGAGAGGAAAAGGCAACTTCTGCTTAGACTTGAAAGTGGTGTTTGCTTTGGGCGAATCCGCTGAAAGACCGTATACTGACATCCCACTTGAAGTTAGGGATTCATAATTGTCACGGAAAAGACAGGCTTGCTTGGTACCTAGGGCAGAGTGAGTCCATAGGAAGAGCTAGTGTGTCATGTCGAGGTAACCAAAAAGGAGAAATAAAACAGAATGACGAAGATAGATGGTACAGTGCATGGATGCATCATGTATGGATTGGGGCAAGCCAAAGGAGCTGAGAGAACAGAATTGGGTCTCAGTTAAACCTACATCCAGGGGTAGACGCTCTGGGATATGTGAATAACACAACACCAGACTTGCTACTGTCGACGAGATCCTTCAATCTGAGTTTTGTCCCATCATGATTTTCAAATTCACCACCAAATTGGTTCAAATCGAGGGTCTCTCCAACTTTCGGGGATCCATGGTGGGCATCGCTAAACGCGTCGGCAAGAGAGCCGCCAGCCTTGACTTTTTTAGGCCCTCTCTTCGAGGCTGGGTCGAGATCGAGAATGCGCTTGCTCTTTTGTCCTGTTTCGAGGGGTTGTGTTGTCGCTTTACGCTTCCTCAACTCGACCATTGCGATACTGTGACTTCTTAATAATGTGAATACTGTAAATGTGATGGCGCAAATGAACAAAAATGAGTTGAAATACTTTGAAGGCAGTCTGTGGTTGCAGTTGCACTCTCGCACAACACAGTAATCAAGCGGTAGGTGAGACTTCGCCGGGCTTTCATCCTTGTCCTTGGATGCCGTCACTTCGCTAACCCCTACCGGGTAAGTATAGTCAGCCCCAATAAGTAGTCAACAATCATGTTTTCAGAAGTTGTTATGACCCGGACAGGTGATAATATAACTATAAATATCAGAATACAGGTTCTTGCAATGCTACAATCTTGCTCTGTACTGTAGTCGAGGAAGTTTCCAGCATATACAGCTTAATCAGAAAGGCATCACTTTAAGAGATCGGTCTTGTGAATCGATATTGTAGAGACTCTACCCCAGGTTTGCTGAAGATAAGAATCTGCTGCAAGCTGGGCTTTATGAGAATAGCTTCGACGGGGTCTTGGAGCCAATATGGTCCTATGCTAAATAGGCCATACTCGTATAACTAGTTATTTAAATCTGAATGACTAAACCTATTCCAGACGAAGGGATGGTTGTCAGCGTTGCCAAGTAATCCGGCCACGTGATTTTAAAGGCCTTTTGTTCTTGTTCACATGAGGGAACGTAGCTAGTTCTAACAACCTCTGATGCCTCAAATCGCCGTCAAATGAAATCTGAGTTTCAAAGAAAAACACTGCAATTTATTGGCCTGAGAATGTCATCAATAATTCTTCTATGCAGAGCACTATCTTTTTTCTTGTCATCTTCACGGCGTACATTGCCACCAAAACTATAGAATATATGTTCATTATGGTATTAGAACACCAAAATACAGGGTGACCGAGGCTGCAATCAGCGCGGTTATAGCGTCTGGCTATATGTATTGTGATTGTTGGTTACAGGACTTACCGCGACTCGGCTTCAGCTTCTATACTTGAGTTTGTGCTTTTTCTTGCGAAGAATTGTTGCTAACTAGTTGCTTGTGCAGCAAGTAGTGAGTAGACCTGTTAAGGTTGACGACGGCCTTGCTATAAGCTAAATGCAAAGGTTAAGATTACTCTGCAACTATCAAGTGTGAATTCAGAATATAGTAGTGTATACCCCCATCTACCGTGCAAATCCAGAGTAAGTGATCTCCTTTGGACAATCATTGAGCTATAGCAGGTGCAAGATGCCGAGATATGGATCAAAACAATGATTCTGGCGGTTTTACAACTTGTAGAATGACCTATGCATATACAAGAATGAGTGGGGCGCCTTTTGGCCCCCCTTACGCGATCTGTAGTGCTGGGTTCGAGTAGCCTGGGGCCGGCGACAGTACGAGTAAAATGGCTGCAGCAGATGCCGCAGCGGCGGAATAAGACAGTGATGCCATATTTTGAAAAAGAAAAAGATATATATATATGAGAAAGATAGCACTTTAATCTCAAAATCTAATCCTCTTAATTAATTAACTTATGTTTGATTAAAAATTAGAATTAGTATATGTCTCCTGGTTATCTGTAAAACGAAATTATTTGTAAGATGGAGGCTCGACCCTTCTTTGACAAGGGATCAATGGCTATAAGTAATTACAGAGTACTAAGTAGTTATTCAATCTCAACGCGAAACGATGCACCCCCATTCTTTAAGACTTCGTCCTATGTGCCAATAAAGACTAGCCACAGATTCTCCCAGTGAAAATGCTGTTGATGTTCATATGAGCACATGGCCATACATATTTGTTTCGCAGAGCGGTCAGAGAGGGGTTGGATGGCAGTGACGTTTCTTTCCCAGGCCTGGGGGCTTTTGATGCCTCTGCACTTGTGGGCTGCCATCGTTCGCCGTAGTTCGCTCACTTCTTTGATCATGCCGGGAAAGCCCGACCCTTGGCGCCACCCGGGGTTAGTCTACGAATGTAAAATTTCCAACTTCAACAATGTTCTACCGCATATAACTAATTCTTCAGTCATTACAAAGTTGTCGCCACATGCTTTTGTTCCAGTGCCTCCACCGTACCTCATCATCGGAAGGGGATTTTCATTCTTTTCTTTCTATTTTTCCTACTTTTATCTTGATTGATTGGCCTTTGTAGTTATTATCCTTTGCCACCTCTTCGTAGTGGTCGGGGTGTTTATTAGAATCTCACCCGCCCTTCTCGCTGTTTGACTGCTGTCGTCACCGCAGTGTCCTACACACGCTCTTGTGCACTGGATCTCGAAACACGGCCCAATTTTGTCCACTCGAGAACTGGAGTCAAAGTCTGGCCCCGCCGTCTCCTTTCCGTCATGAAGGTCTTTTCTTCATCATGCACATTTGATTATTCGTGGGAGGAGGTATCGACCGCAAATTGGCGCAAGTACTGCCCTTGGAATGACAAGTCCACACATGTCGTGGCAGTAGACACTCTTTCTCGAAGCGTGGATATGCAAACCGGTATAGTATGTGCCTTGGTCCCATTGATCCGGCTTCAGATTGAACCAGTATCACTAATGCCTTGGTCTCGTCTCAGCTGCGCACCGAACGTTTGATCACCTGTAATCAGTCCGTGCCACAATGGGTACTCTCACTATTTGGAGGCAGCGCTACGTCTCATGTATACGAAGTATCATATGTTGATCCAATTTCCAAAATGGTCACGATGTGCTCGACAAATCTCACGTGGTCGAATGTCCTCAGTGTCAGGGAAACCGTTGTCTACCAACCATCACTGCTGGATCCATCTTCAAGTACACAGTTCAGCCAAGAAGCGAAGATTACCGCTCTTTGTGGGGGTTGGCAGAAAATCAAGAACAAAGTCGAGGAGGCCAGTGTTGAACGCTTTAGCCAGAACGCGAAGCGAGGCCGAGAAGGATTTGAAGCTGTTCTGGAAATGAGTCGACGAGTCTTCAGTGAACAACGCGAGCACGACAAAAATCAACTCTGAATTGAGGTTCTCCTCGGCTTGACACACAGTCTATGGACACAGTCAACCATTATCTTTTCAAGCGTTTGCATATATATGGCGTTCCTTTGAGTTCTTTCCAGCGTCTCGACTTCAGGGAATCTTTCAGCTCCATTCTTGCGATTTACTCACCAGCCCTACATTTTCAAACCGCTGTCCCACCAGTGTTAGTGCTTGGATTCAAATGCCCACCCGCCATTGCAAAGTGAGCAGCTTATATGGCTTGATGATGCATGACCTCTTCCCTACACAACAAAAGCAATAGAACGCTCTCCGGTCTACATTTCTCTGTGCTATTATAACTACTCATAATTGTCCGTTCTCACAGAGCGCATCCATATGTATAATAATACAAGAACGAGCGGGGGGGCCCAAAGGCCCCCCTACACGATCTGTAGTGCTGGGTTTGAGGTGAGTGGCCGGCCCCAGCCTATGGCATAGGGCTTCGGCGACAGTAAAATAGCTGCGGCAGGTGCAGAATATCCGAAGCCGGTAAAAAGGTATCAAAAATAGAATCAGAGACTAAATAAGAGTATTACTTATATAAGAATAGATAGAGACCCTTTGCCCGCCCCCACACAATGTATAATGCTGGGTACAAGATGA